AGATCAGTTCGACATAGCTGTTAACAAGAGGTAAAAACTATATAAATACTGTTCGTTTTCTCACACAAACCGCTCGTTTCGTGTCTTAGGCCATCAATGTGTACTTACATTTACGAGTCATTAAATCGTGTTTAATTTTGACTTTTCTGTGCAATTAATTTCAAAGCGAACTATCGCTTTAAATCCTGTTTACGTGTTTTAGCCAGGTTTTCGCCTGGAAGGCTCTATAGAAATCTGGCACCCTATTGTACGAAGTTAAACAGAGAGCACGCATTCACAGACACCAGAATGAACGTGTTCACAGTAACGTTCATCAGGCAGTAATACAGTATGTTCAGTTCACGTTTGCCCAAAATATGAACGTGTTCAGGTACAACACTGGCAATGGGTGTTTTTGTTTTTCGATGAGCGCTGTATGTGGTAAACCAATCCCTACAGGCTGAGCTGTCTGGCCAATCAGAGCAGAGAAGGCTCTTGGAAAGGAGGGATTTAGAAAGACTGATTCAGACGAGTCGTTTTGACTTGTTGTAGGAGACTACAAAAACAACATTAGGAAAATTTTAAATAGGGGCACGTTAAGTAACGCTTTTCAGCTCAGATTTGCCATCTGTTAAACTAGAGGGTCAGTGAGTAGTAAATATAAGTAATAAAAGTAGACATAAATATAATAAGTAATAGTAATAAAAGTGGCATCAAAGTATTTAATCCACTTTTACACATTAAATGCTGATTATTTTGCAGATTGTTTTTGGAATATTCAGATTGTTTTTGCATTCAAATTCAATACCAAGTACACATAGCTAGTAATTAGTTAGCACTGAGCTAACATGATAAGTAAAATACGGCAACACCAGAAGTCAACCAGTTCTGACAACAAAACAAACATAACTTCTGCTTTTAGAATGCCAACTTTGACTCATGATGACCACATGCCATGAAGGTCTATGATGCCTTTAAATGTAAGGAATCATAAGCAACTACAATAGCAAGATTTTAAAAGATACTCTATTGATTCCACTAAGCAACACTCCATTCCCAAGTCTGTCTTGGTTTTTAAGGAATTAGACAGGCCGGGGTCTGTCGAGGGGGTGTGCTATGGGAGTGACAGGTTTGTCTATGTCAGGCTTAACCATGTGCATGTCTCAGCAAGTCAAGAACCATCTTACTTTCATTGAAAGGGGTCAAAGATTCATACATCAGCTTTGAAAGAGACATGTCACTGACCACACACAACCAAGAGCCCACTTATCCATTACCAAAACACTCACTGCAATCTAGTGGAACACAGGGTTTCATTTCAAGCACAATGCAGTTTCTCTTGCCATTACATAACCTACTGGTAAAACTGACAGCATTTGCATGTGTGACTAAAAAACATGATGATTATCTCTTAACTACAGTATTATATAAAAAAAATGACAGGTCATTAAACCTCACAGGCCATGACTACTCTCTCACCACCCTGAAAAGAAATCCCCATGCAAACTATACATAAACACTACCTTCAATCCTCTACAAGTAGCAAGAATGAAATCTGCATCTGACACAAACCATCAATGATTCCTTGTGACAGTACGGATTTTATTCAGAGTAAATGACATAATAATTTCACGAATTAATGAAGGTTGTGACAGACAGGTATACAACAGTACAACCATTTGATCTGCCAATTTGCCAAAGTGTCAATCAAATACTATTACAACCTATAGAACAACCATCTATATAACCTGGTTATATATGAAAAATGACATGGGAAATATCTGGCTGACTAAAATCGGATCATCTCCGTTTGAAGTTTGACTCAAACCTCTCTCGACTCTCACCCTTACAATGACTAAATCAGAAATCTCAGATGTCTTGAAGACAAGGAAACAGTTTAAAGAACAAATATAACCAGCATTTAACTACAATCACCAATAAAACATTGGAAATAAGATTTACTACCTCTCATTTCTAGAAGCCAAAGGTCCAAGACTTTTTCCTTAGATTGAAAAGAAAGTGTACTGGTCATGAGAAGAGAGTGAACTAATAAATCACTCTTTGGAGTGGCTTGATTTGTAATGTCATTAATCATTATGTAATACAATACTTATTATGTATTTTTTTTTTTTATGACACTGGGAGTGGACACAGATTTAATAAAAGTGGCATGCTATGCAGGTTTGTCGTCTCATCCCATATTCGTTGGCCCCATATTTCTGAAAACTGGCTCTTGAAGGAGATTCAAATGCCCTGGTTGCCCTTACCTTCAATGGCAATGACGTGCTCTCGGATCTGGTTCTGCAGCAGTGGATCCTCCACCCGCTCCAGCAGCTCGTAGATGGAGTAGATGTTCGGATGGACGGACTCGAACCTCTGGATCTCAGATCTGATCGCCGCTGAGTTCACTTGGTGCTGCTGATAATTCATGTTTGCAATGTGATCTCTTCCAAAGGAACCGGATATGCAATTATCTAAAGAGTGTTTGCAGGTGATTTAGGGACACTGATGTGCTGCAAACACAGGACTGAGATCAGATGTCCACATGAGGTCTGAGGTCAACTCTTAAAGATTTTGGTTAAAATAAACACTGCAAATGATCCCAAATGTACACTGGTTATATAGGATGCAATCACAGACTAACTAATGATTAGGCGTTAAACCACCTAACGTTAACACTTCATGCGAGACTAACATCTAGCAGCGGCTTTGATATTAGTGCATGTAATATTTGAGTGTAGCTACTACAACAGAAGCCCAGACGCCGGAGGGAGAGCTGCAGCTGTCCGGATTGGAAATCCCAGGATACAGTCATATGCCCCATATCCTCGTAAATACAGCATAAAAACAACACAGAAGCTCCAGCAAATCACCACGCATCGTCATTACGGACTATAATAGGCAAGTGAAGGCCATCTCAGGTCTACAGTCCGAGGCGAGAAGAGTCCACATGGTCGACTCCGGCTGTGTGCTTCATACACACTGACCAGTTTCAGCGGCAAAAAGGGGCGAGGCGAAGATAAATTATTAAAACTCAAACTCGCCGAGAAACTACAGTTCGCACAAACGAGCTGGACACGGTATGTCTGCTGTATTCCCAGCAGTCAACTCGCTCTCTCCTGTTGTTCACTTCGGCTCATGCTGACATTACAACCAATGAAATACTTTCTGCGGTCTCGATGGGAAACCACAAAACCTTTGAGGTGGCGCCAATCTCAGCGAGATACTATCGCCGGGGTTTTCGGGTATGTCTCTTGTTTTATCCGCAAAGATGGGTGCATTCCCTTTTCTCCCGCACTGAGGTCCGTCCCGTATGTATCCTCTCAAACATCATTGCGCCTGCTCCTTCCTTTGGACGCTTCCTACTGGAAAAACGTCGGCGCTTCGGAGCCGTCGTCAAGGTCGTAGCTGCGCTAATTTTGCGCAGTCCGTTGTTCTAAAAAGGCATACAGGTCGCCACACACTGGATGGGGGCGCTAGGGTGCCCTTATCTTACCCGACCCGAACATGGATGTGTTGTCTGATTACTGGACACAGGACACAGTAACCATAATGATTGGTCTCAGTTCTGCGAAACACTCGGATATGAATTCAGAGTCTTATGATAACATGGGTGTGACCATCCAAGGTTTTAACTGGTGATCTGACATAGGCTTTTAGAATACCCGATATTATGGGGATGTTATCCTTGTCCTTGTGGGGACATTTTTTGGTAAACGTCTTAAATTATACTAGGTGATGTTTTTTGAAAATGTAAAAATGCAGAAAGTTTTCTGTGCTGTAGGTTTAGGGGTATATAGGGTTAGGGATATACTGTGAAAATGTTAAATACATTAAAATACTAAAGCAATTAAACAGTTTTTTTTTTAACAATTTAGTTGAATAACCCAAACAGACAAAGCAGCATTCCTGAAAGGTAAATGTATTCAATGATTTATGCATATGATTATACATATTTATTTGCCCATATTTTAAGATATGTTAAATTAATTAAATTGGATGCTATCTCTCATTTAACCTATAGTTTTAATAGTAAATACATCTAAAATATATCTAACTTATTGATTCACTGAATAATAACCCTAAATATTCAATACAAATAACACTTTAGTATTTTAATTATTGCTGTATTTTACATATACATTATTGTTTTTATAATATATATTAGTTTGTTTTTGTGTTTTTTCTTTCATTGATTTGTTGCCCTTATCAAAATACTTCAAGATCATTTTATTAAGTATACGTAAGTAAAGTTCAAGAATGTTTAAGTAGGTCATGTAAGAATAGCCTACTAATATCAGTACTACTTGTAGGTTTACTATATCAATACTAGCCAACTTGGGACTAAATTGGCCCACATTAAGTATACTTTAAGTGTAACAATAGTAAACCTTGAGTAGGCTAGACTAAGTTTTTTGTTTGTACCGTCCACAATTATACATACTATACAGTAGTTTACCAGCACATAAGTCTAGTCTGAGTAAACTTGTTTAGTAATTTTATACTGTAAGTTTGCTTTAAGTGAACTCAACAGTAAGTGTTTTATTTTTAATTGTTTTTAAGTTGCCAGCCAGTGCGAGCATTTTTGATAGTTTTCACAAAACTTTCATGGCCCCATGAATATTTTGTTGTTTAAATATCTGATCTTTTTTGCATCTATCGCTTGTTTCTGCTTCTTCACCTGTGTTTTAATCTGGAGATTCAGTACTCATTCAGAAGATGCAGTGTCCCCTTCCTTATAACAGTGAGAAGATATAACCATAAATTCCATTAATGGCAGGGTTAAGTAAATTTGAAGTAAATTCATATGTTCACGACACAAAAAAATTGCGTCATACATTTTTCAATCAATTGGTGTCATCTTGCTTCAAGGTCATCTTACCCCATCTTTACCCTGGTCTTAATAATAAAAACATTTTTTTTTTCTCTCATTTTCACAAAATGTGTAATTTATTTATATCAAATGGGATACTTTAAGACCTTTAACCACTTTAAATGTTCTTGTCCATACTCTGAACAAATGCAAACATACTGGATTTATTGAACAGAAAAAAAGAAAAAAAAACTTTTCAGTGCCATCTGTATCTAATTCTGATACACTGTTGGTAAATGTCTGACACATCTGAATTCTATTAGCCTCCATTTTACTCAATGGCCTCTTCTATTCTGATTCCATCCACCAATAGGGAATGAACTATTCCATTCCGTTTCCTTCCACTAGTTGTTGCTTTTATGCAGCATTCACGGTTCCCCACTGCAAAGTGTGTCTCCGTTCCATTCTCGGTAAACTCCCCCTGCACACAGAAATCAATATAAACATAGGCCTGGAACTAAATAAGCACAAGTCATTGGAATGCTGTGCAATGATTAAGATGGTGTTTCATATTTCCACAGTGGTCACTGGTCACACAACTGCTCCATTAGCTGGCACGACTCAGGCTTAATGGACCAAAGTGTATCATAGATTTAAAGGCCTGTGGCAGTGTGAACTGCAGTATTAAAAGTTCTCACCATGGTCTCCATTTTCTGTCCATTGCACCATACATCCATAGTATCTTTCTCTAGTGAAACAGGAAAAAAAAAAAAAACATGAAATGGTTTGCTAACAGAGATTACAGTTAAACTGTCTGATGCCCGCCAAATCAAAAAAGCAAGTTAGTTAGAGGATCACTTTTCCGTGCTCTTAGTACTGCATGTTGTACACTATAACTCTATGACGGTTTTCAAAATAATGCTTCAGACCCCCACATATGATGAGCCCCTTGTGAAAAATATACAAATATTTCCCCCTTCCTAAAATATAAAATACATTTTCATGTAAAAAGGCCTATTTGTACTGTCAATAAGCTGACCTTTATTATCTGCTGACCCCCTTTAAATTAAATGAAACCCCTAGTCATTATCTTCATACACTAGATATGAATGACCTTGAGATAAATAAGGGCTTTCAGAAAAACTTAAAGAACATCCTTTTGCATCATAAATTTAAGAGGGATGTTTTCGCTGTGAATCTTACCTAGAACTATCCTGTAATCAGCATCATCCAGTTTCAGCACCCATGTTTTGGAAATCTTTGATCGGTTGTCCAAAAACGTTTTGAGACTTTTTCCGTTGATCTCCAGTGTGTACTCATAGGAAAACCCAGTGACCGCCTCAATATGTATGGTTGCTTTTGTATTTGTATTCCCAACAGGGAATGTTTCTGTGCCCACCAGTTTGAACAGCCAATCCCTCCTAAACACCTCCTTAAAAAACAAGACTTGATAAGACTTATTGATATGATCTCATTCATCTTTATACTAGATATTATCTCATATTATTATTCTAAATGAAGATAAAAGATAAAAATAGTATATAGCCTACAAAAACTTGAATCAAAATGAAAATATAGAAAACATTATTAGGGCTACATGTTCTGCTTCTGGTTTTATAAACGTATCTATTAATATCTGTATTTATATTACTTTTTGTGATATATATATATATATATATATATATATATATATATATATATATATATATATATGTATATATATATATAAGAGTTCAGATGCAAAAGCCTCTAAGTGCCATTTGAAATTTTCTTCTAAAATGATCATTTTTATCAAGCTTGTATATTTAAGTTCAGTAATTTCACTTAAATGGCAATGACGATTACCTATTAATTGTCATTTAAGTGAAATTACTGAACTTAAATATAGAAGCTTGATAAAAATCATCATTAAAGAAGAAAATTTCAAATGGCATTTAGAGGCTTTTGCATCTGAACTCTTCATATATATATATATATATATATATATATATAAACACACACTCATATCATTATGACAATGCTAGCCTATAGTATAATAATAAATAAATAGATCATTTGATCTCACCTTCCCATTTATGTAAATTACCCGTTTTCCTGTTGTTGTTCCATGTTCAAACTCAATTCGGTAAAACCCGTCACTCAGCGACACATCCCACGTTCCCACAATGTCTCTGGACATTCTGTAGGCCTACTAAGATCCACAAAACCCAAGCACTCTATTCTATATTTATTTCTCTGTAATGTTTCAGCCTGGTCATTATAGCCATCGTCATGTGTAATGGCTGATTAGATCTCTGTATATTCTTGAGGAGGTTGCCATCCTGTGCTCGCTCAGCAACGAGTGCATTAGTGTAAGAGGCTTAACTCGTCAAGCAGAGAGTAATTGAGGATGTTCGTGTGCGAAGACGGGTTATTTTTTTTTACTTCAAGCTCATTTAAATAGACATTAGGCTTAAGAGTAAAAAAAAAGAAAATCAAATGAAATGTTAAAGAGCGTAACCCCCCCCCCCCCCCCCCCCCTCATTTTATCTGGTACCAATAGATGGCAGTCCTCTCTCTCTCTTTCTCTCTCTCTCTCTCTCTCTCTCTCTCTCTCTCTCTCTCTCTCTCTCTCTCTCTCTCTCTCTCTCTCTCTCTCTCCTTTATAAAATATTCTTGAAATATCCAAAGAAATGGTCAAAATAAATACAATAAATATTTTTTTTTTCTTTTTAGGCTTACGTTAAAACCAGAAGCAGCTGACTATGACAAAAACGCATAGCCACGTATGTGATCAAAAAAAGTTTAGTAGTTAATCTTTAAAAAAAAATTACATATAATATAAATCCCATCATAACCATATTTTATGCCATGTTGTGCAATATGATGTTATGCAAAGTTGATGTAGGACACATTAGCAAGGCAGGCACGCTATTAACATATCAAACGAGAGTGGGCGTGGTCATTCTGGCTGCGAGCCCCGCTTGTTGAGAACTTTCTTCCAGATCTCTCTGTCAGTGCCTGGAACTCAGAGAGCATGGAGAAGTATTGGACACGATGAACGTTTGCTGAGGCTCTTTTCACACCATTCTTTAAACTAAGGATAGGCTACAGAAATTTGACAAAGTGTTTTGGAGTTCTGCTTGTCTTTCTTGGAAACTAGCCTACTTGACGTAACTGAATAATATAATGAGGGGATGCATACGGAATAATGCATTTCTCTCATTCATCTGACAAACTCATTCGCTTTGGATTATGACATTATATTTTTCCCTCGAAGACGATAGGAATTCCTTTTAGTGGTTGTCTTTATATCTATTTTTCGCAGTTTTTCTAAGTAGGCTATTTAATCTGTCTTTTGTTTAAGCTACTGTAACACGATTGAGCAAAAATGCAGGGTTAGTTTGCGTCTCGCTGCTGTTGGATCAAATTACCCAAACCTTTTCACCTATTCCGTGTCATAATTTTAGAGTGATTTGTATTTATGTTGTAGTCATATTAGCAGCAATGAAAAATCATCAGGTACATGTCATTTTGTTTACTCTGACGTGGATTCAAGCCTCAGAATTGGTCCTGGATCACACAGGATCAGAGAGAGGAAATGCACAATTAGAATCAAACACTTTTGTCAAAAAGTACACAAATGATGTGCAGTCTAGTAGAAGATTTACACAGTTATCCACCTCTGGAAACACACGTATACTCAGGAAACGTCAAAATGATCAGAATGTGGAGTCCTCACGACCCCCAGCCAGGAGGCTCCTGAAAGGGCAAAGACAAGTTCCATACAGGAAACCCAGTGTGACTGACAGCATTCCTGCTCAAGAACCTATTTTTCAATCTACTCCATTGGGCACAACTAGCTCCATAAACATCCTGTCCGGTTTTGCAGGTAAAAAACGTGTTCTGGTCATTTCAGCTCCCAACGACTCCGATGGCTATTACAGGTTAATGATGAACTTGCTCAAGCCGGACGTGTACTGTGAGATGGCGGACAGACACATGCAACAGATTATAATATTCCATGAAAAGGGGAAGATGGGAGGCAAGGTGAGCCGTGTTAACAATCAGGGATCTCTGGTGGAGGAGCCGTTGGATCCAGCCCTGGTGCCCAGACTGATGGGCTTCCTGAAGCTGGAGGATGGTAAGTTTGGGATGGTGCTTCTAAGAAAGACCCTTCAGGTAGAGGAGAGATACCCATACCCTGTTCAGCTGGAGGCGATTTATGAAGCGATAGACCAAACTCCTGTGCGTAGAGTGGAGAAGGCCAGGCAAAAGGGCTTTGTGCAAAAGTGCAAAAACTCTGGAGTTGAGGGCCAGGTAGTGCAGTCCGTTGGCTCAAATGTAGTTGGTTTGCAGCCGCAGGTGAACACGACAAAAAATACAGGGCGACACAGGGTGAGACCAGTCCCTCAGCCCACCCAGCTAACTCAGGCACAAATATCAACTACCATCAGTACCACTACAATGACTACAACCAAAAAACTTACAACAACGACCACATTGAAAACTACAACCACAACAACTACAACTACTGTAACAGCACCTACCACCTTTTTTCCCTCAACAACAACTACTATTACCACAAATGCACCCTCCACAGTGGTGCAAACGCATCCACACACAACCGTACCCTGGAACACAGCTGTGCCCAATACCTCTGAGCGGGACTACCGGCCCTCGCCACGAAACCGTCTGAGGGACACAGATACTCGTCTCGCCGTTACCTCTAACTTCAACAAACAACATAAAGGAAAATACCTAGACCAAACGCAAAAGAGTTCAACTGCAATCACACCAACACAGAAGGGCAAACTGCCTGTGGTAAAACATGGCTGGAGTGAAAAGCTTAGTCAGCACACAAGAGAACGAGACACAAGGAGGCCAGAACTTATTACCACTCAAAAGGCGAAAACTAAAGCTGAAAGTGCAGACCGGAGGAAGAAGGTGGATAGACCTGATAAGACTTTAAAGAAGATACCTGGAGGAAAAAAAGGCCCAAAAGTGACAAATGTCAGTGTTCAGATAAAAAACGTTGTGCAAAAGCCAAATGTCTTTGAAGAAAGGGCTGTTGTGGACCAGGCAGCCAATCCCAAGAAATCGTTAGAAACTTTTTTGAGTTACTTTCAGAGAAGACGACGGCTCATAGTACGTATTGTATCTATGAGACATATGAAAACAGTTACATAGAAATATAGCTCAGGGCTCAACAGTAAGGATGTCGATAGCGCTATATCTTGCATTTTTTGATCATGACACATTGCCAAATTTTACTGAAATTTTGAGCCATAGAATTCTGCTTATGGACTTTTTAAACTCACCAGATAGATGTATAAATATATAATGTATACTTTTTAGCTATTGCTGCAATTAACACTTTTAATGAATTTTAAAGGTCGGTAAAAATGTATGAACATTTTTAATATTTTTTTAATTAATATTAAATAATAAATGTAAAAATTACACATTTAAATGAAAAAGATAAATGTACACATTTAAATTAATAACCTCGGAAAAAAATCCTTACTGTTGAGCCATCTTAAAAATAAAGGTTCATTATGCCATCTATAATTCCTATATCTATTGAACTTTTCTATGCACAAAACGTTCTATGTAACGCAAAAATGTTATTAGAATGCTCTTCAAACTAAGAAAAAAATGGTTAATCAAGAACTGATTACTATGTAAGGCTCTCCAAAATGTGAACCATCCCTTTTGAAACCTTTATTTGCTCATTATGTTCCTGAAAATTAAGAAGCATTTTGGTCATTTAAACCACTGAAACGATTTCTAAAAGTGTTGTCTGTTTTTTTTTAAATCTTCTGCAGGTAATAACTGCTCCCGATGAGCAGAATCATATGTACAGTGAACAGAGGGATGAGTACCTGGAGCAAGTGTGTGATATGGCCCTGCGTAAAATTTCCATCATCAGTATCTTTGGGCCCCTCACAAACAGTACCATGAAGATTGAACACTACCAGACAGGTCAGTGCTGCTTACAGTCTTTGTGTGTTTGTAACATGTCCTATCAAAATGTCCTCATTCTTCTTTTAACAGAACAGGATAAGCCCTTACGAGGCCTGCCGGACAGTGATCTCATCAACCAGGACCTCATCACTGCATTTCGGAAACATTTCGGGATGATTTATAATGATTTCAACATGTTGCTGACTGACTTTGACATGAAGGTCAAGGTGAGTCGTTAAAAAAAAAAAAACTTTTGTTAGTGTATATGAGATGTAGATGTAATCACCTAATTTTATTACACAAAATTATGCATTCCTTGTTTTCACAGCAACGATATGAAGTCCCGATTGTTATGCAAGCAGTGTTTGATTACATCGACACACTGTCAACTCGCATTAAAGAGATAGAACAGCAGAGGAAACTTGCAGTTATGTGCAAGAAAGAAGACAAATCAAGATCTCTAGAGGACTTCCTATCTAGGTTCGAAATAACCAGTGTCACTGTCTGAATTTATCATTTATAATGCATTAACGTAAGGAATTCTCATCTGCATGCTTTCTTATGTCTTTCAAGATTCCGTTGGAGGCGGAGACTGTTTGTAATATCCACCCCTAATGATGAAGAATGGGCCTATCAGCAACAACTCTACGTCATTAATAGCCAAGCTTGTAATCTAGGTGAGATCATTTGGATAAACCTTCCACTCCAATCTTCCACTGTGAAATAAACGTGCTTTTAATGTGAACGTACTAGCGCTATTTACAGTAGACTGCAAAATGCTATAGACAAATCGAGAAGTATGCGAAATGAGAAATGTTCAGTTATAAGTAAACTTTTGAAAATGGGATTCAGAATGCAAGTGGGATTCATGACGATCCCGTTAATTGTTTCTGTGTAAGCTAAACAAAAACGCAAATTTGTGAAAATAGTGACGTTTTGTGCATTATGTGTTCAGTCTAGGTGCGTAGTAGTTTTTCTTTACAAAATGATGTCGCCAACTATACTGTCCTGGCAGTGTAATACAGCGTTTGCAGTTGTTTTCGATGATCTGTGTTTACAAGGATCGTTTTATCAACGTTGTCGTCTGTAGCCTACGTGAAGAACCCAAATGAAATCATTTCCGTATTTAGTACATCATTGTCTTGTAAACGTACCCTAAGAAGTTCAAGAGCTGAATCAGATGTTTTAATGAGTGAGATATCTAAAACATTTTAGGATCCCACTTTATATTAAGTGGCTTTAAGTACTATATGTACTTACATTGATATTAATAATTTGAAGCAATAGACTTATTGTGCACATACATGATTTTAGATTGTACTTATATTTAAAAAATACCTGCAGCTGTAATAAATTTATGTAATTACATTTGTTATTACACTGTTGGCCTTTCCCTTACACCTTAACCCACCCTTAAACCGACCCATACCACCACACCTGTCCCTAACCTTACCCGTATCACTCCTC